AGATAACAAATTTACTTGTTGGTTCAGCTATTAAATTAACTGAATTTTGTCCATTAAATTGCTGGGTTTACGAAGTTTACTTCGACCGTTTTGCAATATCCAATCCCGACCTGAATTACGACGGCTTCCTCGGCTATCTGTCAACATGTCAATACTTGCTTTGCCAGTCTTAATAACTGCTGCTCTTTTTCTGAAATAGCAAACTAATATAAAAATCCAAATGTCTTTCTACACTGAACTTTTTTTTTCTTCTGAAATATTAAATACGTTCACCGTCCTCGAGCAAATTGCACGAACGTTTGTAAATGAAATATATTGTCAGAAAGTAAAAATATAGTCTGTAAACATATACTGTCAGAATATAATAATAACAAAAAAAATTGTTCTTTCCCAACAATTCTTTTTCGAAGATAAGGATAGTATATTAACACGTTAACTATTAACACACTAACACAGCCTAAATTAAAATTAATTAATTGTATTTAATCGAATTAAAATTGAGAAGTTAAGTTTTATCGCATTAATTATGTTTTTAACATTCTTAGGTATTGCGAATTCTAATCAAATTAGGAAAATATAATAGATCAGAGTAAAATTTATGTAAAAGTATCGCGGCAGTTAAAGTGTTAATTGATCCTTTCTTTTTCGTAATATTATCTTTATTACCTTAAATTCGTTATTTTAATATCTGTATTATCCTGAAAGTAAGATCTTTACTTTCAAGATTCTTTGCACTGCTTCTAACTAGGGAGCGGATTTTATTCATTTATGAGAAGAATGAGCGCATAAAACATGGCATAGTAAAAAGCAGTTGAAGATATTAAAAATACTGTTACATTATTTGCAACTTACAAGATTTATTAACAGAGAAAATATATTTTGATTCGGCTTCTCTTTATTGTAATCAAGATAGATAATTTTTATTTTGCATAAAGATCCGCTGTATACTTACAACAGAAGATCAAATTTTCATTAAAAGTGTTCACTAACATTTCTTTTTCCTTCCAGTAATATAAGAGTAAAACATAACATGTAAAGTTTTACTTTCGAAGAGAAAAGTTATGTAATTGCTTTTGCGGTACTATCATTAAAAGACTGCAATAAATTTTTATGTTCCACTATACTGAGATGTGGTTAGGTATTAAAAAGTATGGAAGTTTGACGAAAGTTTCTTACCTTTGACAATTTCATTTCTTATCGTATATTGTTTGTCATATTACACGAAAACAAACAAACTGTTTACACAACGTTCATGATAACATTCAAGCATAGAAGAGAATCGAAACACATAATCTAACCTAAGTCATCGAACTCGCGATGTGCAAAATGTAGAACTTAAACATGTGCTATAAAGTCTGTGAAAATCTATTACAAAGTCCGCAAAAGTTTGTTACAAATGCAAAATAAATGAAACCAATGAATACAGTGATAATAATATCTTTATTTCGCAGCCTGGCGATTAAGAAAATCGACATTGTTTATATAATATAATATAATTACATATATTAATATGTAATATAATTATATATATTATATTTATTATTATATATATTATTTATATTATATATATTATTTATATTATATATATTATTATATATTATTATATATATTATATTAATATGTAATGTAATTACGTATATTATATATTATAATTATAATTATTTATATAATTATAACTCTATCTTAACGCGTTGTGTACACCGTCGGCCACGTATGGATGACACTAATTTTTAATTAGGTGTTGAAATTGATTTTTATTGTGTCATATTCCAACAAATTGAATGTTCCTGAGTGATAGAATGACGTTAGAAAGTAACGGAGTAGTAAGTATGTATGTAAGTAAGTAAGTAATTATGATCGGACTGTGGATTTTATGTATTTTTGAGAAAATTACATAGCTGCAATTTACGACAGTAGGAAC